TTTATTTTTTTTAAGTTGTAGACTTGTAGGATATACTTTTATATATATAAAAAAAAATAGTCAAAATTAATTAGAATCATCTTATTTTTGGGTTTGCTCTTTATTGATTTGTTTTTATTTATTTTTTTTTAAAAAAAACAAAAAATCAAATACAGGAAATAGAAAATTAGTTTTCATTTTTTCATTGTCAATTTTCTTAATAATCATGATTTCAATTCATTAAACATCTTATAAACAACAAACCTTTAATCAAATACACTATGTATGCTTATATACAATAAGTTTTGTAAAAGGAGGCAGACTTTCGTTAATATTATTAAAAGACGGTCAATAGATCAGAGGTAATTTTTAACAATTTTTATGGTAATTTTAACCCATAAAGTGTGTTTTATTTTTAAAAAAATCAACTTTTAGTTTGTTATAACTTATAAGTATGATTGTATTTTTAATGTGTATTTTTTTAACTGATACATGTTATAAATGCTAATATGATGATTACTTTAATACTTTAGGAGTGTTTTTTAGGAGTAGAATTATTTGTGTAAAATATGGTAACTTTTATCAATAACTATATACTAAAAGACACATCAGCAATGACACGTGTTATTTTTCTGGTGTGTCCAAAAAAAAAAAAAAAAATTATTTAGGAAACAAATCTTATATATAAATAGAAGATTAAAAAGATTTAATGTATCCTTCCACTATATATATTGATACCATAAGCTAAAGTTAAAAAAATGAAAATTAAATTCTTAACATAATTTATGACATACATAATGCTATATACTACTCTTACCATTTTTACAACAAGAATTATTTTTTTAAAAAATATTTTTGTATTTAATTATGTTTAAAAAGCTTGCTAGGAAAGATATGAATTTTTTTCGCCAGTTGATTATTGAAAAGAAAAATAAAAACCGCATAAGAGGGAATGGATTAATAGTGTGTAAAAAGTAAATCTATTTACGAATTAGATACATAGTTGTAAGATATTCATTTGGTTAAAAGAAGAAATGATATAAATTAGTTAGTGAAATATATATAAATATACATATATGTGTATTTTAAATTATCTATTTTGTTAATAATAGACTCTTTCATAATTAATTCATTTTATAGTAACTTAAATAGATTTTTTTGTTATAACTAAATATAGTGTTAATAATTATAGAGTAGTTATTAAAAATTACCGTAAATGGCACGGGACCTAACCTAGTTAGTATATAAAGGTATACTTTCAGGGCTAACTTTTTCTTGTCTTACAATGAGCTCATAAAAATCCGATTTATTCATGAATTTGTGATGTCTATGAACATATTTAATTGAGATAAGTATTTCTTGTAAGAGATTTAATTATTTTCCTCCTAGCTACTCGTACACATTAGAGAATCATTAAAGGTCAACGGTTTAATATTATTAATGATGATAACAGATAATGATTCTTCAACAGATAATGCATGTCCTGCAGTAATCCACACCAAAGCTTGCGTTGACTTCTGTTTATTGAATTATGACTTTTGCAAATTTTTTGCTTATTATATATATATTTTTGAACCATTGTGCTAATTATATTTAATTATACCAACCTACAAGTGAATACTTAATTAAGAACACTACGGAGTACTATATACGTTCATCATCATTAATTAGCACTACTTAAAATTAAACAATATTGGTGACAACATTCTTACACTCCTGTTTCAAGAACTAACGGAATTAACATATACTCCGTATATGGATTGTGTTAAGAAATTACGTACTCATTATTTATAATACACTCATTTTGGATTTTGTCACGTTATTAGTTTAAACTATACTACTTCGTATTATCTAATGTACTTGATAATTTGGAATAGTTAGAATTTCCAATAGTTAAAAGTGATTGATAATAAGATTATAGATTAAATATTAGCACAAGTTTGATGATTATTATTCATCAATATATTAGAGAAAAACATACTTATATATACATAGGATTAGTTTTATTTCAATATATAATTTTAATACGAATTATATTCAATAATATAAATTGCAATTATTAGTATTCATCAAAGACGTGTGTGTATTGAAAATTGCAAAACAAATTAACAAGCAGCAAAATGGGTGGAGATGAATTGAATGTAGTAGTAACAAATTAAACACACACTATTTGTAATGTATGTAAGGAAAATTCTTTACGATAACTACTACAAGTGTATAACTATCAATACACAATTACAGTGCAATCAAATCAAAACCAACAATATATATATTTTTTTGAACTAAAACAATTCATCTACCAAAACCAACAATATAGGATTATAGGATCAAAGTGTCAACTTGTAAACAAATTGCGTATTTGTATACAATAAATTAAACTTAGTCCCACACTCCCACCAACTCACCCGATAATAGTGAACCTAAGCTACCTAGGTAACATAAAATCAAACTTTGAAAAGTGATAATTAATTACCTATGTTCAAGTGATTTATGGTGATATTTTTCTAAATATTGAAGGTGATATTCTGACGTAGGGAGATTAGCAGCGGGGTTCGAGGAAGAAATTTAATGTTGAAAGGACTTGATTTGATTTTTTACTAGTCATGATTTTTATTAGTCAGGCTCTCGAAGTCAAATTGCTTAACAAACTATATTTTGGGAAATGAAAATTGGCAACGAGTCCAAGTCAATGCTATGTCGTGGGCAACAGGCTTTTTAAGCCATCCGAGTGCGTTTAGGGCCCGAAAATCGCATTTAAACATTTTCCGGATCTTATGTTTGCCTAATTTTCGTACTAGGACTTTGTTTAAACTATTTAAACGTTTTTAACCATCTTTAGAAATTAGTTTTGACATCAATTACATATTACTAAAGGCGAATCTAAAGAGACACTTGACAACATTATACTAAATATTTTCCCGCCAAAGTATTTGCTTTAAAAAAATCCTTACCATAACTAACAATTATTGTATCTAAATAATGACATTTGCTTTACATAAAATCTAAACTAAACTTTCTGTAATATTAAAATGTTCATTATAACTTTTATTATATGTGGTTATTTTTTAATATTTATCTTACTATATACTAAAGACGAATAAAAAATGACACACGTCGGTTAAAAAATCCTGCCAAAAATTTTTAGTGTTAACTTAAGATATATGTAATTTACTAGAATATTTTCCTTCCTACTTTACTATTATATATATTCAAGATAAATATCATTTCATATCATTTATATTTAAAAAATTATAATGATCCAAAATCAATATAATTTTTTGTAACTACATATAGCAAATTTAGTATTATAAAAATTCATAATTTTTAATGAAATGGACTTTATTATACTTTTTATAAACATAATAGATTTGTTAAACAATTATTGAACTACATACAAATTATTGTAAATCTCTATAAATTTTGGTAAAATCGTGCATTGCACGGGATTTAAACTAGTTATAATAATATTCTTGAGAGTTTTACTCTTTTCTGGTGGATTTCGGAGTTTTTACAGATTTATCGCTTGTAAATGAGTAAATATGTGTGTTCGTATTAAGAATTGCGCTTGCTTTTCTTCCATTAATTCCGACTGTGTCATATTCCTTTGACCTTATTTTTATTTCAAATTGCAATGGATTGAAAGACTCTTTCGTGGATCGCCGTATCACATAGTAATGTATATGAAAGAGGGTAATCATAAATAATGTAAGATCTCATCTACAATGATATGATCGTGGTTTAGCTTAATTAAAATAATATTAAATCCCATATATATGTTTGTATATATTTACTAGTTTTGATATTCATTGCAAATGTCATATTAATTCATTTTACTTTTTAAAATACACTGGTTATATATATATATATATATATATATAATATCTAAAAGTGTGCATAATACTCGTAAAACATCTTTCCTTTTGATTCATTCGTTTCTTTTAGTGCCCCATGTAACTTTTACAAATTCTTATATGAGGCTAGCAACATATTGTGACCACTTCACATATAAGATAATTAATTGTTAATAGATCGAGGTTACTGCGATGAGCAATATACCAATGGGACTTGTCGGATGTGGGGTTACTCCAATGGAAAAATGGGGTTAAATTACTTTTATAAATAAGTGAAATTTTATTTTAATTAGTAATCAAAGGACATAAACACAAAAGATTAGGGGGTTACTCGAATAAACATATGGGCCGGGGTTACTCTTTTATTATTTTTATTACTCGTTTAATGAATGTGGGTTACTTTTAAGGACAAATGAGATTACTTCTTATGAATAATATAAATGATGTTACACATACGAATGAATACAAATTGCTCTTATAAACCAATATGGTCACACCGTGTATGTTGATTTATACATAAGGTTAACTTTTGCACTACATATCTATTCACACATAGTACACTACTTTGATAACTAATGATTGTGCTTAATATCTGCTGAAATCTTCTTAATGTATAGTTTTTAAATATCAACTTTTTAAAATTTATACTCATTGAAAATTAAAGATATTATTACTCAAAAGAGGAAGCCCCTGTTTATTTTGTTTATCAAATGACAAAATTTCATGCTGACATATATAGCGAGTTTATCACGCGCTAGATGAAGTGAGTGGAGGTAAGTTTGAAAGATAGAGTTAGAGTTGAGAGAGTGATGATGAATGGGGCTCAATTTATCTCGCTCTCATTAGGCCACTTCAATTCCCTTCATTTCTTTCGTCTAGTTGTCCTATATATCGTTTCTTATCTTTCCTCATCCAATCCAAAAAGCCTTGTTATTATTACAACCCCACCGACACCAAATCAATATCATCTTTTTTTGTATAATAATCTCATCATTCTTCAAAACTCCCAAAAACAAAAAAATGTCTGATGTTAGCCAAAACCCTAGTTTTCACTTCTCCAAACCACCCCACAAACTTAGCAACAAACATGTTGTGCTAAAAAATAAACCCACCAAAAAATCATCAACAAGATCTAGAAACAAGAACAACATCAACAACAACCACCTTATGATGTTGAACAACAACAACAACAACAACAACAACAACAACAATAGGCCACTCAAAGTGGTTCACATCTCTAACCCTATGAAGTTCCAAGTTGCCGCGGCCGGGTTTCAAGCCCTTGTACAAGGGCTCACCGGCCGCGACGCTGTAGTGGAGTGGCCTATAGACCATGATGAAAGCCAAGTGGTGGCTACTAATGATGATTCAACTGATGGTGGTAATAATAGTACGGATGATCAAAGTAATGAGGTCAATGGTAGTCAACTAGATGATCATCAAGAAGATGAGGTTATTAATAATAATTTCTCGGCTTGTTTCGGACCGTCCGATCATCATCTTATGAGCTTTGATTACTTTGGGAATCACTTCAATGTTGATGATGCTGAACTATATGGTTGTTATGAAGGATCTTCGAGCTTTTATGGGTGATGATGGTCAATAATCTATTATGGCTTCATCATTAGTGCTTGGATATTGGAGAATTGTGGACTTGTTAGATTCGTTCTCGATGCTATGGATTGGATGCATGGTTTTCAGAGTTGTAAATTTGGTAAGTGCCCGCGCCGATGGGTGAAAGCTTTTTTCGAAGCAATAATTTATGTTAGTTTCTAAGAAATTTGTAGATTTGTAGTATAGTAATTAGTAAGTAATGTATTGGAAAAATCTTTTACCCAAAATCTTATTTATATAAATGAAAAAAAACCATGGTTCAATTATTGTATTTGATTTGTCTAATTAACTAGCTAACTAAGCCTTTTAGTTTAGGTTATCTTAATTTGTTATCTATCATTTGTTTAATTATTAAAATATTATCATCAATTTGTGAAATTATTTATTTTATGTGGATTATTGCAACTTAATTAGAAATTGCGTTGGAGAACAATTGTCATCTTGATTTTCCAAAATTATAATATCACTTGGTAATTAATGATGTGCTGCCTAATGTAAGATTTATAAAACTTCAAAGTATAAACAATTAAACAATATTGTATATATTATATTTCTTTTATGACAATCCTTGATGATTTAATTTGTCATGAGGAGTAGTAATGAATTTTTTATTCATATATTATGCAATTTAAAGGTAAATTTCTAGATGTCGTTTTGATAATATCAAAATTTTCATTATATTTCTCATTTGAGTTGCCAATTACTACTACGTACTAGAATTCCTCTACATACTAGCAAATATAAGTACGAGTTATGTTCATACTTTGGGTAGTGAGATTGATTAATGAGATGCTCTAAGAATTATGGAGTATTATTTATACATTTCATTGGCTTCTACATAAATACTATGCCGACAATAATTACTTAAGTTCTAACCATTAAATCAATCATTTAAACTTATTTACTCCTATAGAAATGACACAATTATTATATACATACGTAGTATAATAAAGCTATTTTTGAAATATGAAATCATATCATGTCCTTCATCATCAGTCGATTTGACAATTGTACAACTGTGAAGAATCACGGAGTTGAATCTATGCTCATGGTAATTAATATACTACCGTCTTTATATTTAGTCTTAAAAAAGAGTTATTATTCAAGTGTTTAGAAAGTAATTTGCAAAAAGAAGTCAAATTAATCTGCTTTAGAAGTCTCAATATTCAATGCACGTGCAAGAAATATCATGTATAGTTCATCAAATGTTTTTCTCAATGTATATCCCTGAGTTTTTTGTTTATTCACCGTGTACCCCTAAACTTTTTTAAATTCATCATATACCCCCAAGTTTTCACAAAAATATACCATATACCCTTGATGACTAATGATTGTTAACTTCTTCAATCATTAGGGTTAATTATGACCCGAATCCAGCCTAAATACATTCCCCTACTCCCGAAACCACTCACATTCCTTTTTCCCACCCCAAAACCACCCCAAATTTCCTTTTTCATCTTTAAAATTAATCATTCATATATGGTTATGGAGATTTAGAGTGTTTTGGGGGGTTGGAGAAAGGAGAGAAGTGGTTTTGGGGATGGGGGAGAGAGATCTAGGGTGGTTTCGATGTATAATTAACCAAATTCTACTCATCTTGTTTTCATGGGGTATGTAGTGAATTTTTGTAACAACTTAGGGATATATGGTAAATTTGAAAATTTTCAGGGGTATATGGTGAATAAACAAAAAACTCAGAGGTATATGGTGAAAAAACCGTTCATCAAAATATTAATGGAGTTTTTTTAGTTCACACATATTGTTCACGGTGTACATGTATTTGGAATTCCATTTTGATCATTATATTCACGCAATTATATATGCGTCTTTATGCCTTTATTACATTAGCTCAACATCTTTGAAGTCGTGCTAGGTTTTATTATACTTCTTACTTACGACTTTTTAGTCTTTTCACAATCTCAAAGACATAATTTTGTCCATGCAATTATTGATCTTAATTATTTTCTTTTTTTATACTATGAATTTATATTATATATGAAATTTAAGAATTAATCAATTAATTACTAAGGATCGGAGTAATCAATAGTTTAAAACTAGTTGACAATGTATGTTGTTAAAAAGGACATATCAAATCGAGCACTAATCCATAAATATAGGTTGAGTGTACGTGCATGCTCTATTCTTCACTTAGCTTGTTCTTCAAAACTATGAAAATACACCTAAAATGTTGTCTTGAATTTATTTTGTGAACTTATATTGTTAGAAAGAAATTTACATATGAAATTAATTGCAATAAAAAAGGAAAATCAAGTAGATATATAGCCCTAATCTTTAATTTATAACCCAAGTTTTCTTTTAGTTAATCGAGTAGGTAAAAAATTTCCTCTAAACAGAAAGTTCACGGTGAGTAACACGCTTCATAATAAAATGATTAATAATTTAATATACTCCGTATGTTTAATTTATATCATGATCATGCTGAACAGGAGTTAATTAAGTTAGATTAGACACGAAGTAGATACATTGTCACAACGAAGCTCGACTAGTTTTCGTTCGAATAATCGAACGTAACCCATCAAGAACGGAATGAATCCTTAGAATAATAGAGCTTTGTCGATCTATTCTTGTGTATCAGCCGACAAAGAGTCGAAAATATGTAACCCTAAAGATGAGTTTGAATCATTTGTAGAACCCATTTGTTTGGTATATGGACATGGTGGGATCAATTTCAACGCCTACACTATACTCAGTGGCGGACTGGGCCTTGTGCCTGGTGGGTCAAATGACTCACCAGGGCCCAAAAAAAATTTTAAGTTTTTTTTTTTAAAATAAAAAAAAAAAAAAAAAATCTAACTTCAGGTCCCGACACTTCCTCAAGCCCTAGCCCACTGCCTCCTCAGCTGCTCTTCCCTCTTCGCCTCTTGACTTCCTCTTCGCTTCATCTTCACCAGACTACCTCCACCCAGCCACCCTCCAGTCGCCTGCTCTGCCTCTGCTGCTTGCCTGCTTGATGCTTTCCTGCTCCGTCTCCGTGGTCACTGCTCTTCGCCTCTTCGCAATCGCTTCGACGCAATTGCTAATTCACTAGTAAGTTGATTTCTAATTTTTATTTTTAATTTCTTATCTTCAATTTAATTCAGTCTAATTAGTTAATTTTATTAAACTTTGGTTTAAACTTTGGTTGATTTGTAGTTAACGCTTCCTCTTCGCTCATCGGCTCACGCCTCGTCGCCTCCAGTGCTGGCCCTGCTGCTGGCCCTGCTGCTCCGCCTACTCGCCTCAATCAGCGTCTGCCGTCTGGCAAGGTAATCATCAATTTATTCTTTTTTTTTTGTGAATTTCTGATCAAATTTGCTTTACTTGTTGCTTAAAATTAGTATATACGATGAATGTTCATTGAATTTGCATTATTTGTGTTTTGACTGTTAAATTGAACTTATTAGTTTATGTGATGCCGGACATTGTATAAGACAACTATTAGTGTAAGGAGGATTATAAATTTATAATTAGATTACAGTGCGGACTGGTTAGTGGTGCTAGTCGCATATTCGGCTGGAAGTTCCGTATAGACTAGGCGGATTCAGGAATTGTAAAACATTGTGTCTGAATTGTGGTTACATAAACCTTAAATCATTCTTAAGTTTTTTCTTGTGATTGTTGCTGTAAATTGTTTAAACTGTTATTACACGGAGAACAGTAGTTAGGGTGTTTATTAGCTTGTTAGTTATTAGTTTGTTAATTTTAGTCTTGTAATTTCAGAATGAAGAGAAAACGCATTCCAAATGAAATGCAAAACATTACTAGCTTTTTTGCTAAAAAGAATCCTACTCCAACTTCTCTTCCACATCCAACACAAAATGAACAAACTATATCTCAACCTCAAGAAAGTGAACAACATTCATCTCCATCTCATTATTCAACTTAAAATTCCCCTCAAAATGAACAAGGCCAATGTTCTCCTAATGCCCCAATCTTTGATGAAAGATTAAGTGAACATGAATTTGCTAATCTTCCACAAGATCCAGGAAAGAGGAGAAAGATGAGTGAATTTCATAAAGATGATAGAGATTTAGTGAGAAGAATTTACATTCAAAGAAAGCCTTGTCAGCCCAAAGACTTTGTATTTCCTCAAACTTCTATTTTTGGCAAAAACCGTCGCTTTTGTGCTAAGTGGTTTGGTACTTGGACTTGGCTTGAGTATAGTGTGGAAAAGGATGCTGCCTATTGGTTGTATTTTGTATTGTTTGAATATTTGGATGTATTTTTTAGTACTATTATTTGGTTGTTTGGTAAAAAAATTTTTTTACATATTTGATTATCGATTGTGACTCACCAGTCGGAAATTCTTGGGTCCGTCACTGACTACACTAGTTACTTTTCTTTTGTTTCCCTATATATATACTTTACTAATTTTCATTATGACGTAAGCACATACTTAAGCGGGTTTAATTGACATATGCTCTTAGAGATTATAAATTATATATTATGCTCGAACTTTTCACTCCAAACAATATTTTATTCTAATTAATTATTCATAAAGCTGTGCATGTACGTGAATGAGCGAGTTTTTTTTTTAAGAGCCACAAGGGCAGATGATGAGAATCGGTCACAAAATCTCTTGAAATCGGGAGGGGAGTTTTAACCACTTGAGCTATCCCTCACTCTCTGAATGAGTGAGTTTTAATTATGCAAAGGCTATTTTTTTTTTTAAAAAAAAATAATATTATTTGTTGAAAAATAGACCTTCCAAATATCACCATATGTAAGTGTCCCACATTGGTTGAAGAAGACAGAGTTAATCACTTTATAAGGCTAAGGGGCTACTCCTCCTATAGCCATATGATTTTGGGATAAAACTTCCTTTGGACTTGTGAAGTGGACTCTCTCTCTTGGTTTACGGGTGCGGCCCAAATCCGTATTTGACATTATTTTCACAGGTTAATAGTGATTTGATCTCACCTAATTATATATATATTGATTTAATAATACCAGCATAATTGAACTTTTGTATTTAACAGCGCACAACTTTGATCACTAATCATTAGTTAAGCAATACTTTAATTATCTAATAGAAAATTAAAATTGACATTTTGAATATACTCTTTATAACATTATATAGAAATAATCTAACAATAGTTAAAATGATAACTTACCAATAGTAATTACAAAAGGTAATCAAATTAGTAATTAGATAATAATCAAAATGATGTAATTGAGAAATAGAGAAAGTATATACCTTTTTTGGTGTTTAATCTGATTCACCTTTTGGGGTAATCCGGATTCGGGGATCAGTTCTGGGTAGTTAGGTTTCAGTCCCTCCCAATTATTGTTGTGGGAGATCAAACACGCAATTCTCTCTACCAAGTGCAATCTCAATTACCGTCACTGCACCAACAACCAATTGGTAGAGAAAATATATACTTCATATTTATTTCTTTTGTTTCTTGTTGTTTATAGCAAATTGTCCGTACAAAAAGTTCCTACTCTATTATTTATTTGTATTTTAGTACAATAATATGAGTAGCAGCTTTTCCATTGGGGTTGTTTAGATGCACGAATGTTGTCTCAAATTACTCTCAACTAGCTTGAGCTTGAGATTAAGGTTGATCATCCAGATACATTCTCCTCATCTAGCTAGCTAGATTTGCCATAAAAATAGACTCAAAAAAAAAAAAAAAAAAAAAAAATTAGCTAGCTAATGTGACGATAATATTGGGAAATGGGAAAGGTAGGTCTTCTAGATTACATTTCTCTTGTCTTATCTCAATTTAGATAAAATTGAACTTACATACATCACCCTGTTCCTTACGATATTCCTCTATCCGTGAATCTCTAGTTAGGAACTTAGGACTCGGTAACATGTTAGTACTCCTCTCGTTTTTAATTTGTTGCTCCATTTTTTTAAGAGTCAAAGTTCATCAACTAATTGTGATCATGAATTATCGTTAATATTATTTAATAAAAAAAGTAATTATATGAGATTTTGTTATATTCTTTTACACACACATTTTCAAAGTATTTATATTTGTATTTGTTTATTGCCAAATATTTAGAATTTTATCTAATAAAAATTACTATATGAACATTATGTAACTAAAAAACAAGTGTATATTAAGATGAATATGACAAGCGGCCACTTGAGATTTTCTCTTATATATTTTGTATAAATATGAACAAATTTCAATCAAATTAGAACATAAGCTAAGCCAATACCATGCACTAAGCTAGATCAATTGATCATACTTAAAAATAAAATCAAACCGGTCATAACACCTTAGCTTACTTTAGATGAAGAGAACAAAATTTTAAGATAAGATTAAAAATGAATATATATACACTTGTACTTCGTATCAAAGAACTCGATACCTTATTTAAATTCCCATTATTATTACTACTCGGTATTATAAATGCTCATGAAACTTGACAGCCAAAGTTGTAGTTATCCTATCATAACAATTAAATAACAAGGGTGTACAAATTTAATGCCATTTTCAAGAGTCTTGATTATTTGTATCCTTAGATTTCAACTTGCTCAATTTTAAACAAGATCCGTACAATTATCTAGTAAGCAAGTAAAGTTCCATTGGCTTCAAGTTGATGTACTAAAGTGAGCTAGTTGGGAAAGTAATGTAGGTCTATTGAAGCTTGGCACCACATCACTTATTCTTGTCTCTCTCAATATAGTTAAAAGCTCTTTCCTTGGATTTTAGTCCCTTTTTTTCCTTTTTTTCCTCTGGGCACATATTATTGTTGTCTACTTGGGTTAGATACCCCACATTAAGGGCATTGATTGTGTATCCCTCACTTCTTTCTTTTCAGTACAAGTTTTTATATTATTGGGAACTCTGACGGTAAGGCACCGCATGATACAGGATTTCTTGTTAATTATCGTCGTGAGTTTTGCTAGATTGATTAGAATTTGTTATACAATATTCACTACACAATTTATAACTTTTAAAATTATAAATTGTTATTGACAGTTAATTTCAATTATATATTCTAAATGAACTGTGTTTTGTGTTTTTTTTGGATATCCTGCGGGAGAGTTACAACACCAATACTGACCTCTGGACGCCTGTACCTGCAAAACAACGGAGACTCCTGTGGGTGGGAGTTTCGCCTCCGACGATCAAGTTAGAACGTGTTCGGATGTAAAAAGTGCGGAAAGTAAAGGGGATCAGACTCCTCTCGGAATGGGAGTGATCATCCGATTGCCTGAGACAGTCTCGGAATCCGAGCCTTAGCTCTCGAGAAGTGCAATTAAAGCTAGAGTTAATACTCAGCAATTAATGTACACGTGTGTTTTATAATATCTGAATCTCATTCCTCAGAGGGAACATCTCCCTTTTATAGGGTCTTTGAAACGCGGGCCCAGTACTAGGTTTTCAGAAACCTAGGATTGACTGGGCTTGCCTAGGTATTTGGGCCCTTAAAGGCCATTTTCCTAGTTGGCAATCTGCCTGCCACGTGTCGTGGCCTGATTGGTCCACCTTGGACCTCTCACGAAGTGACACGTGGCGGGCTCTGGTTGGTCCACGTGGATGACACGTGGTAGGGTTTCATTGATCCACGTGGCGGGAGAAATCCCCTAATCATTTGCCCCTCACAGGGATGACGTAGCATGCCATGTGGCGCCTGTGACAGGTGTCACGCTATGATTGGTTAACGGTTTTTACCTCTTTTTTTTACCCCTTGAAATTCCCCCCCTATATATAGGGGATGGCCAAATCATTTGGACATTCCAGAACCTTTTCAGACAGAACTTTTGGTCTTTAGCTCTGATATTTTGGACGACTGTCGCTTGCTGACAGACCGCCTGATCTCAGACCGTCTGCTTCTCCAGCCGCCCAATTTTTCAAGAGGTTTCACTTTAGTAAAAGGTAACTGCCTATTTTCTTTTGCATTTGCATTTTCTCTGTTTGTTTTTCTTTTTTCAAAAATGGTAGCCCAAAAGCGCACGGCACGACCTAGGTTAGTGATCAGCCGGTCACCGGGGACGGCTGAATCTAGAACTAGGAGTGCCGACTGCCCCATGTTGGACCAGCCTTTGCAAACTGCCCCAAGTCCGATTGTCTATGTGGCTGTGCAGGACACCATGGCCAGAACAAAGAGAACGACCAGGATAACAAATTCAGACGGTTCCTCATTTTATGCGCCTATTAGCGAGATCTCGGACGTGCCGCCAGGCGTCCCAAGCACCCCGAGTGATTCTATTTTGGGAGAATCAGGGGAGGAGGTACAAAATGACCCTCCTATCATTGATCTAACCTGGCAGGCGGCTGCTTTTCCCGAGAGTTCGAGCAATGACTCTGAGCCCAACACCTCTAGTCAGTACTCTGACGACTCTGAGGAGAAGCACTATCGGCTACATGCGGCGAGAGAAAGTCATTCAGTGGAAAAAGGAGAGAACTGGGCGGAGTCGTCTGCAAGTCAAAGAGACATGTATGCCCCGTTTTACTGCCATGTTAAGCAGGCGGAAGGCAATGTCTGAAAAAATTGGTAGTTTTAGGGCTGACCATATTATGGGTCATGGTTACATTCTTACAGTGCCGGATGCCGAGGATGTTGTAGTCTGGCCAGAGGGGTCCAGCTAAAGGGACGAGTGTTTTGGCTGCTATGAGGCGGCTATTAAGGCTGGTT